AAGGGGGTTTAACCCCCCCCCCCCCCCCCCCCCAAAAAAAAAAAAAAAAAAACTAGGCTACCAACATAATGGAAATTATCCTTGAATGATCCTACATACTCTAGCCTTTTAAAAAGTTATATTCTAGATACTAATAATTAATGATATTTATTGAAATTGGAACAACACATCAAAACAACACATCACCACTACCTTAAATTTACATCAGTTGTATTAATTTTAGGAGGGTGGTGACCATAGCAGATGGTATATATTGAACGAGAAATTTAAACAATGCTCTCTACTATTTCACATTGTTGATAACTTATTGGTTTTATATCAGAGCCTATTGGTGCCATGGCCTCCAAATCATACGAGGTTCTGATCGGCAATCGTCAATGGATGCAAAAACAGGGTCTCATAATCACTCCTGAAATAGATGAAGAGATGACGAAGCACGAGATGCAGGGCCAGACCGCCATCTTGGTGGCAGTGGATGGTAAGCAAAGTGAATACTGTTATCAGCTTATTTATTTTGTATATTTCCATAGGCATGTGTAGAATTCATATATTACACACTTTTACGTATCAAAAGCTGAAAGTAGATGTGATTATAGGACAGCAGATGAGGATAATTGTGATGATGATAATGATGCCATTAAAATGGAGGCATATTGTTCTCTCTTACACTCCGACAGTAAGACTGATGATTAAATAAATATGAAATTTTAATAAAAGAGTTTTTTTAATAATCTCTTATATAAAAATAATGGTAAAAATGTCAATCGTTTCTAAAGAGACTATAAGGTGTAAAATGTTTTGTCTCTGTTTTTACCAACATTGAATTTCTTTTTCTTCACTTTTTTCCACAGGCGCTGTGGCGGCCATGATGGCAGTTGCTGACACAGTCAAAGAAGAGGCTCACCTGGCCATATATTATCTGCAGAAGATGGGACTGGATGTCTACTTGTTAACTGGAGACAATGTCAAGACTGCCGCAGCCATTGCTAAGAAGGTAGTTTTATCTGCAGCTTTTTATGTTTTATTCAAAACTTACTGCATAACTATTTTAACAAAGATTGTGTCAATTTTGAGAGATCATATAGTTGTATATTTTATGTAGGAGCTTAAAAATAATTGATTATGAAATATTATTATTATTATTATTATTGATGATGTTTATTTGATTGAATGAAGTTTTTCCCACACTGCAGTTGAAACATTTTATGCATAGTTGGTTTAAAATTTATTAAAAAATCCTTCTTCCAAATGTTCCAGCATCCTTTAAAGGTATAACCAAACAAAAACATTTTTGAATTATATTTATAAACTCCTTTTTTTATCCTCTCTGGTTTTCTAGGTTGGAATAAAGAAGGTGTTTGCAGAGGTGCTACCACAGCACAAGAAGGAGAAAGTGGAGCAGCTCCAGAGGTCAGGGGTCAAGGTCGCTATGGTTGGAGACGGGGTCAACGACTCCCCTGCCCTGGCACAGGCAGACCTGGGGGTGGCCATTGGAACCGGGACTGATGTGGCTGTGGAGGCGGCGGATCTGGTCCTGATGAAGGTGAAATTTGTTTTTCTCTATATTTTTTCTGTTTTAAAAGCTGCTATATTTTTGGACTTCATTTTATATTCGAATGAGATTTGAGATATTATTATCATGGTGTCATATTTTTGTTTCAGTTATATTTTTGTTTTAATATGGGGCTTAGTTTTTTATTTGAATAAAACTGTCAAGGAATTATGTTATTATTCTAAATAAATTAATTGATTAACTCTTTCTTACTTATGATCTTTACAGCGTAACTAATATATTTGAGCAAGTGTCATCAGTGGATGAATTTCCACTACATTGCTACCTGTAATTTGTAAAGTAATTTTTTTAAACTGTTTGTATAATATGAATGTTTTGTAGGATGATTTAGTTGATGTCATCATAGCACTGAAATTGTCCAAGGCCACCGTGTTCAGAATCAGACTGAACTTCTTCTTTGCCTGTGTCTACAACTTGCTGGGAATCCCCATTGCAGCAGGTGAGAAAATGTGTACTTTTCCTTGGCCATCTCTGTCACAATTGGTTGACAAGAAATCCTTCCAAAGTTCATGAAAATATTAAGATTTAGACAATTATCACTTGGATGGTATTTTAAGCTAGATTCAAAGTAATTTTTACATTAGTCTTAATAAAGGTAAACAAAATAGATTTGATTCAGCATATATTACACAAAGGATGAGTTTAGTATTTTTTTTTCTCCATTATCTGTCTCTAAGGTGATTTGATAGATATTATTATTCCTGAGAGAAATAAATTATTAGTGTTCTTAAATTCATAGTAATTGTATCATTTGATATAGAATTAATAAGAATTTATTCATTTTCATCATTATTATTGTCAATTCCTACTGATTTAGCTTCATAAACTGATCTTATATTGTGTCATTGGTTATTCCAGGATTGCTGTCTCCAGTGAACATCCGACTGCAGCCCTGGATGGCAGCTGCTGCCATGGCAATGTCCTCAGTGTCGGTCGTCTGCCTCTCCTTGCTTCTAAAATTGTAAGTATTTTCACAGGAAATGGTGCATTTTTGAAAGGAAGTGTAACCAAACAGTTACCAATTTGAAATTATTTACTTCTCAGTTACCTGCTC